AAAATCAACTGACATGGGTCTTAATTATAAAATAACCACATTTCCTCCATTTCAAGATATATACATTTTTAGCTTTAGAATTAAGGAAAACAAACCTAGCCATGTGTATTATGATCACTGGTTGTCTGGCTGGCAGACTCGAGTCAAATATTTTTGAGCAAGAAAGCTCTCCTGTGGAATTCTCTTAAATAATTTTTTTGAAAATGCAATTTCTTTATAATAGCAAGTATTATAAAGAATTTTTCACATGCTACTCAATTTTGAATACAGTCTCTTCTAACTTAACAATGGAGTTCCGCTAAACGAATTCGTCACTAAGTGAGGAGCATACGATAATGGTTTTGGGTTTATGTCAACCATCTTTGATATTGTTTTAATGTCACCTTTGCACCATATATAATATTTCTGGTATATTTTTATATGTTTATACAGTAGTGTACTGTATACTATAACAAACAGAAAAGAGAAAATCAGCTCTAATACACATTATTTAGGTATAAATACTGGTCAGAGAGCCCGTCGTAAGTCTGAGTCATTGGTTAACGAATACATCGCTAAGTGAGGAGAGGCTGTACACTCTTAATTGCAATTACAAAAAATCACATTATATAATAGTTTTATAGAACTTATGTAAAATCCTCAGCATCATTACCTAGTGACTGGTTAATGGCTCAAGATGGACAAAAACAATGTCTAAATTTCATTCTCCTATGTGTGGGTTATTTGTGTATTGTTCTAGTCACTGCATTGTGACTTTTTATTTTCAAAGATATATACTGAACAAATATTCTTTTGAGGGAGCTGGTAAAATCTTTCACTGTTGTGAGAAAAGATATACAGTATTAAGTCCATTCTACTACCCTCTTTCCTTCTCAATAATCTAAAATCAGTAGCTGGTCTAATGACATATTTTTTGTAAAATTTGATATTATTATTATTACTATCATTATTATTATATTTGGGTCATATAGCATCTGGGAAGTGAGATACAATCTGCTTTGATCCAAAGAATGGGAAGTGAGATACAATCTGCTTTGATCCAAAGAATGGGAAGTGAGATACAATCTGCTTTGATCCAAAGAATGGGAAGATAACTTCAATTCCCTAAATCAGCAGCCCATCATTTGCATCAGTAAAACATAATTTCACTAAACCCTACTGGAAATCTATGTAGTTTATATAATGTGTTGATACAGCCAGAGGCAGATATAAATGCAGTACATAGCTGTAAGCTTTATAGTGTATCACACATGTAATAGACAGTTTTATAACATTGGTCTGGTAATTACACAAAATATTCATTCCAACAATCCCAAGTTTTTATTTTTAATATGCCAGCGTCTCCCACCAAAGAAAGGCAACTCAAAAAAAAAAAAAAAAATAAGAAACTTCTGCATCTCCGGCCAGGTCAAAGAAGGTTGAACTGAATATAACCTCTAATATATACTATTCAACATTCCAAACTATCCAGTATGGTCATATTCAAGTGGCAGTAATTAATTTAAACTGTCATATTATAAATAATCTTCATTGTCATTTTTTCTTATTCATTATATCTCATCTGCTGAAGAGGACCCCAGAAGAGGGTTGAAATATAAAGATCAATTAATCTTTAGAGTTTCTGCCCCCATGTGGGTTATTATAATGTGTGATATTTCACTGCATAAAATGTTTTATTTGATCTATGCAATACAGTATTTTTGAAAATATTTTACTATTCAGTGCTTCTGATAGCTAATACTTCACACTGTGTAATGGGTTGGTATTTTTTTATATACCACGTTAAGCTGTCACCAAGGTAGAGTGACCCTAACAAGGAAACACATTAACCCGTAAACGGTCCAAACGTATATATACGTTTTTTCAACATTTTAATTAACCCATAAACGGTCCAAAAGTATGTATACGTTTTTTCAACATTTTAATTAACCCATAAACGGTCCAAACACATATATACGTTTTTTCAACATTTTAATTAACCCATAAACGGTCCAAACGTATATATACGTTTTTTCAACATTTTAATTAACCCATAAACGGTCCAAACGTATATATACGTTTTTTCAACATTTGAAAGTATGTAAAACAAGTAAATCTTTTTTTTTTTTTTTTACATTTGAAAATGTGTAAAAAACTTTGATCTACTTTTTTTTGTTATATTTGAAAATATGTACAAAAAACGTAGATGTACTTTTGAAGCACTACACATGTGAACGTAGATCTGCTCGGACCGTTTACGGGTTAACTGTAACTCAGTCAATAGCTGTCTTGCCCAGACTGAAATTTACACTTTATGGAGATTGTATTTAGATTTGAGAACCTTATAGAAAGTAATTTTATACATATATTCATAATAGTGTTAATAAATGAATGAAACTATTTTCATAAAGTAAAAAAAATCAGTCTTAATTTATGTATGAAATACTGTAATTTATACTCACCAATTTGTATTTATGGAGGCTGAATCTCAGCTCCTGTCCCCGCCTTCTAAACTACACTGACAGGTACTCCCAGTTTCTAAAATCTTGACATTATCATACTTACTCTTGAAACAGTGTAGTGTTAGGTAAGACACATATGCAACAGTTAGGTATCTTTATTTCGAAACGTTTCGCCTACACAGTAGGCTTCTTCAGTCGAGTACAGAAAAGTTGATAGAATCAGGAGATACTTGAAGACGATGTAATCAGTCCATCACCCTTGAAGTTTTGAGGTGGTCAGTCCCTCAGTCTGGAGAAGAGTATTGTTCCATAGTCTGAAACAATATGGAACAATACTCTTCTCCAGACTGAGGGACTGACCACCTCAAAACTTCAAGGGTGATGGACTGATTACATCGTCTTCAAGTATCTTCTGCTTCTATCAACTTTTCTGTACTCGACTGAAGAAGCCTACTGTGTAGGCGAAACGTTTCAAAATAAAGATACCTAACTGTTGCATATGTGTCTTACCTAACAACCTGTCAGTATTTTATGCCATTTCAATGTTCAAACAGTGTAATGAAGTAACTCTGTCATTCCTTTGTATCACTGCCAGATATTGGCATTACTCCATACATTGTACTTACCCTCACAAGACGTCCACGATTGGTCTCTTAAGGCTCGACTCGTAGGCTCGACCAGTAGGCTCTGACCTGTAGTCTCGACCTGAAGGCTCAACCTGCAGGCTCAACCTGCAGGCTCGACCTGCAGACTCATCCTGCAGGCTCAACCTGTAGGCTCAACCTGCAGGCTCGACCTGCACATAGTCCGGTAGTCTGACATGAATTCTGGCATCAGTCTATGTATCAAATGTATACATAATTCAAATTCAGATTTTTCTTTCTTTTTATGCAGTACAAAAATAACGTAATTATATAAAATAAAACAGTGTCACATTGTTAGGCACAAAAGAAAGCCACTAGAATGCAATGCATTTTGGGCCAATTAACATCTGCCGCACAAGTCTCTGGCACTACAGGGTGATCCTAGACTTACAAAGGCTCGACATATTTTGACTGTATGGTGATGCAAAAGTCATGTCATGTGCAGTGACGAGAGAGAAGTAGGTCAGGTCACAGGTGGGGCATCTGGGCAGGCCCTTGTGTGCGAAGATTACCTAGTAGGTCTCTACAAGGATTTTGTTGGTTCAAAAGTGCCATGATTCTACTATACAGTGTTATGTACCCTGATGACATTCATTTCATTAGGGAACATAACACCTTAAACAGAATCAAGGCTCTTTCAGTCTACCAGATCCTACTGCACATTTACTGCAAGACAAAGATAATTTTTAAATGGGATTCAAACACATTGCAGTCGTTTGCGATCGTGTTATCAACATTTTGTGAGTCGGAATTTTTAAGTTTAATTAAATATGACCCTGCAGGGCAAACCATAGCCAAAAGTGCTACTCATTTCTGGGTCACAGGACAGAGATACATAAACAGTTCACAGGTTTTTGCCTGTGTTTAATGTGGCTTAGGTAGCCCTAATCAATATAGTTAATGCTATCACTGTAATATACAAATCCTCCATTACAAAAAAAAAAATGGTGGCCACCCCTAGTGTGAGTGGGTGATAATACAGAGTTTTAGATGGTGTATGTACGTCGCAATAGGACTGTAGGCAGCAGCCAACCAGGGAGGTAATGTACTGTCTTGTCATGGAGGTGTGAAACAAAGACCTGGTTGGCAACACTCTCACCTCACACACTGAGTGTCCATGGTTCAATCCCCAGCCTGGTGGAAACATTCGGCGTTTCCTTACACCTGATGTCCCCGTTCACCTAACAAATAAGTAGGTACCTGGGTGTTAGTTGATTGGAGTGGGTTGCATCCTGGGAGACAAGATTGAAGGACCTCCATGGAAATAAAACACAGACCTCAATGATGCACTGACTTTCTTAGGTTATCCTGGGTAGCTAACCCTCTGGGGTTAAAAATCAAAATAAAATCTTATCTTATCTCCCTCTAACCACGTTATAGAGTGGGAATTGAACTTGCAGCTGGTGAGTCATAAAACTCCAGACCGGCTCGTTAGCCACTGGAGTTAGCCAGTCTGGAGTTTCATGACTCACTAGCTGCAAGTTCAATTCCTGCCCATACTGTGGTTTGTTTGCAATCATGTCATTATGATTTTGTGAGTTATTTTACTCTACTCAGGGATGATTGCTATTATCTTTTTCAATCTAATCAACGTGCAAGATGAGGTAAATTTTACAAACTTCCACTGACATTCAGCGCCATACAAACTTACCGTTACTTTTCTGTATGTTTTTTAAATCTACTTATTTTTGTAATAAAGTACTTGCTTTAGAAGACATGGTTTGAGATCCAGCCACAAGGTGGATGATGCACAGAATTATTAACAGATTTAACAGACTACACTAGTACAGTACAATACTTGACCACTTTCCCAATGTCCTCTTCTTGACTCTAATCAAATATAATCATTATTCCCTGAAAATTTTCATAAATTATCAGAAACAAATGTGAAATAAATTAAAAAACACTTAAGTACCTGTAATGCATTAAACAGAAGTTGATGTTCAAATTTCTTGATACCAAGAATCTGCTGGAACATATCAAAGAGTTGCTCTTTGGGCATTATAAGTTCACTGTTGAGACTCTGCTGCATCCTACCCGGCCGTTTGCTGTCTTCTTCACCTATAAGTACATGAGAGATTATACAACTATAATGTAGTTCCTAATGAATGAGATTTCAATTCACTATAATGATTGTTACCAATGCTTAATAACAACCAACATGGAGAAAGAAACTCAGGAGATAGATTGATCTGTATATTTCACGTTCCTGCTGGGTTCCTCTTCAGTATCTGCTGAAAAGGACCTTGTGGTATCCCAGAAGGGGGTCGAAATATACAGATCAATTAACCTCCTGAGTTTTTGTCTCATGTGAGTTATTAGTGAGCACTTTTGAGTATTCATTACACTTTAGTTATTCTTTGTTACCAGCAGGGATCAGGAATATTGTTGAAAAGATGGTAGAAATTGTCAAGAGGAAATTATACACCTACTCTCTTGAAATGTTAGTGCAGCCTAAAGGTATAGGATAGCCTATGGTCCAACACTCATGGCCTTAAATTCCAAGATTTGTGACATAAAATATAAAACTTGTGACTCTAAGACTCTAAGGTCAAAGGCTTGTGGCACTAAGGTCTAAAGCTTGTTTCACTAAGGTCAGAAACTTGTGGCACTTAGGCCTGAGTGTTATGACACTAAACTCCCAAACAGTGGCCCTACTGTACCTACCTTTAATGATCATGTCAAACTTGGCCATCCAGGAGGTGAGGACCGTCTCCTTGCTCAGTCCGTCTATCTCAGGCAGTGACCTGTGGAACATGACATATATTATACCATGTCAGGGTTCTTTAATAGAGGAAATGCAGCTACTCTCTCTCTTTCCCTGGATCAAACCAATATGGGTTTACCACTTCTCCACAAAAATAATAATAAAATCTAAAATTATCCCTCACTGGGAGAGTTATTAATCTGAAGAATTATTTACAATGGATAAACCAATAAAGCTACAAGTACCTGTACTAGGTATACAGACCATAGCTGACCATCAATGACATACTACTATATAGAAAGCCCCCTTGTTATGCAGAGCATTTCAGCCAAACTAGGTCAATTTTGTCCCAGGATGCAACCCACACCAGTTGACTAACACCCAGGTACCTATTTTACTGCTAGGTGAAGAGGGACAGCAAGTGTCTTAAGGAAACAAGCCGTAATGTTTCCACCCATACCAGGGATCAAACCGCGGACCTCAGTGTGTGAGCTGAATGCACTTCCAATCGAGCTACAGGCCATAGGTTCATAATGTAGTTCAATATTAGTGTTGAAGATTTGAAGGAAATCAGAAGAGGCATTCATAATTCATCGTATGGAAACTAGCATCCAAATTTTTCAATAAAAAATTGTAAATTAGGGCATATACAGTGGACCCCTGGTTTACGCTATTATTTCATTCCAGAAGTATGTTCAGGTGCCAGTACTGACCGAATTTGTTCCCATAAGGAATATTGTGAATTAGATTAGTCCATTTCAGACCCCCAAACATACACATACAAACGCACTTACATAAATACACTTACATAATTGGTCGCATTGGGAGCTGATCGTAAACCGGGGATCCACTGTATGTATGTTTACCTGGAGTTTACCTGGAGAGAGTTCCGGGGGTCAACGCCCCCGCGGCCCGGTCTGAGACCAGGCCTCCTGGTGGATCAGAGCCTGATCAACCAGGCTGTTGCTGCTGGCTGCACGCAAACCAACATACGAGCCACAGCCCGGCTGATCCGGAACTGACTTTAGGTGCTTGTCCAGTGCCAGCTTGAAGACTGCCAGGGGTCTGTTGGTAATCCCCCTTATGTGTGCTGGGAGGCAGTTGAACAGTCTCGGGCCCCTGACACTTATTGTAGGTCTCTTAACGTGCTAGTGACACCCCTGCTTTTCATTGGGGGATGGTGCATCGTCTGCCAAGTCTTTTGCTTTCGTAGTGGGTGATTTTCGTGTGCAAGTTCGGTACTAGTCCCTCTAGGATTTTCCAGTGTGTATATAATCATGTATCTCTCGCTCCTGCGTTCCAGGGAATACAGGTTTAGGAACCTCAAGCGCTCCCAATAATTGAGGTGTTTTATCTCCGTTATGCGCGCCGTGAAAGTTCTCTGTACATTTTCTAGGTCGGCAATTTCACCTGCCTTGAAAGGTGCTGTTAGTGTGCAGCAATATTCCAGCCTAGATAGAACAAGTGACCTGAAGAGTGTCATCATGGGCTTGGCCTCCCTAGTTTTGAAGGTTCTCATTATCCATCCTGTCATTTTTCTAGCAGATGCGATTGATACAATGTTATGGTCCTTGAAGGTGAGATCCTCCGACATGATCACTCCCAGGTCTTTGACGTTGGTGTTTCGCTCTATTTTGTGGCCAGAATTTGTTTTGTACTCTGATGAAGATTTAATTTCCTCATGTTTACCATATCTGAGTAATTGAATACAGAAACACATTAAGCTTGAAGCTCCTCAGAAGTGTATTATAAGCATGGAACACTTGAAGCTAATCAGGTGCAGCACTCAGAAATTATCACATGAAAAGCAATACAGCCTCTCCTCACTTAATGATGGAGCCCCGTTCCTAAGACCACGTTGGTAAATGAATTCATTGCTAAGTGAGGTAGTAGGTTTGTGTCACCCATCTTTGATACTGTTATAATGTCACCTTTGAACCATTCATAACATTTCTGGTACATTTCTAAATGTTTATACAGTAGTGTACTGTATATTGTAATAAAGAGAATAGAGGAAATCAGCTCTAATATACATTATTTAGGTATGCATACTGGTGAGAGAGCCCGTCGTAAGTCCGAGTCATCAGTAAACAAGTACATCGCTAAGTGAGAAGAGGCTGTATGTATTTCAATTTTTCCAATGTCTTCCCAACAAAATGTGAATTGGGACCTACATAAGTTAAAATCAATCCAAAATTTTCTCATCTATCCTTAAGTAAGTAAGGTTATTCAGGTACAGGTACACATAAATATAGTTACATAAATTATCATACATAGCTGCATATGTGTAGATTACCCACCAGGATAACCCAAAAAACTTTGACTTATTTAACCTAACTAAATACTGTAACGTCAAACACTGACTTATTTAACCTATAATAACTAAATAAAGTCAATGTTACTTATTTCTGATTAGAAGAGGTCTTCTCCAATTATTTCACAGAAACCAATTTGATAAACAAAATATGCACATTATAACTTACGTAACACGAAGAGAGTCTTTCCCTTGAGGGAAACACATCAGAACTAAAAGTTTAAAGCCAACCAGAAGATGCATTCTTTAGCTATTGCAGAGAATCCAATGAAATTACCATTGTCGTGAGCGTGTTTGATAGGAGTGAATGGAGACAAATGGCTTTTAATACTTGACGTGCTGTTGGAGTGTGAGCAAAGTAACATTTATGAAGGGGTTCAGGGAAACCGGCAGGTTGGACTTGAGTCCTGGAGATGGGAAGTGCAGTGCCTGCACTCTGAAGGAGGGGTGTTAATGTTGCAGTTTAAAAACTGTAGTGTAAAGCACCCTTCTGACAAGACAGTGATGGAGTGAATGATGGTGAAAGTTTTTCTTTTTCGGGCCACCCTGCCTTGGTGGGAATCAGCCAGTGTGTTAATATTAATAATAATAATTATTAAATTTTAGGCCTATACAGCCTGAATTTATGAGACCTTCCATATCAATTACTCTAAGAATCTGATCCTCATTACCGTACACAAGTGTTGAAAATTTGAAGGTGATTGGCTGAAGCACTCGAGTTATCGGGTGAATAAAATATAAAAGCTAGAGGGGTTCTTAAGCAGGGTTATGGGAACTAAACACTAGGGGTAAGGGACTCCATCTATGAACAATTTAAAAAATATTGGTAGATTAGAATAAACTATCCGATGTTCTGTTACTAGCTATCCATATGTAAAGTAAAACCAAACTATTGATGTCTTTTGAAGTGAAACTGGTACCTAGTACTAGTGATGAATCAAGATATTGACATCTTTTGAAGTCATACTGGTATCTAATAGGACTGGTGATGAACCAAGGTACTGACATCTTTTGAAGTCATACTAGTACCTAATAGTATTGGTGATGATGATGATGATGATGATGATTTCGACAGTCCGATGAAGGGTGTATAGGGACATATTGGGCAATCCATTGGGGTTCTGTAATCACAAAAAAGTTAAGAACCCCCTGAGTTTAACCCGTAAACGGTCCAAACGTATATAAAACGTTTTTTTCAACATTTGAAAGCATGTAAAAAAAGTAGATCTTCTTTTTGTTTTTTTACATTTGAAAATGTGTAAAAAAACTTTGATCTACTTTTTTTTTTGTTATATTTGAAAATATATAAAAAAACGTAGATCTACTTTTGTAGCACTACACATGTGAACGTAGATCTGCTTGGACCGTTTACGGGTTAAGGAAGGCAAAAAATTCTGCCAGCCTTTAAAAAGTACCTGTTGAGAGACGTATAATAGTAATAGTAATGAGATACCTGACTCTCTTCTCAACATTGTGCTTGAAAACTTCTCTAAGGTCGTGTTGGGAACAAGCGCCGGACACCACCATAGATGCCAGTCGTTCGTTCTTGAGGAACACTTCGAAGTAACTCTGGACAGCATTGGTGAAGGCCTCATCTGCTGCGATCTGCAACTCCCCTTTCAGAAAGCTCTGGTGTAGGGGGTGACAAAGACTTGTTGAGTACAGAGGCAGTTACACATATACACAGGGCCAGCAGCTGTGGCTTGACCCTGCAACTACATATAGGTGAGAAAACACACATGCACACACAACACACACACACACACACACACACACACACAATTACTCTAAGAATCTGATCCTCATTACCGTACACAAGTGTAACTAACACACACACACACTCACAAAATTCTTTAAAAAACAAAAGACAGAGTGCTACAATTTGATTCATAGAAAAGTACAATCATGTTTAGTGCTTCAATATTATGTTCCACAAAAGATACATGTATATTAAAACAAACAATATGAAAACAAAAGGATTCAAAATAATTTTAGTGTCATCTGCAAATGATGATACAAAAGTGTGACTGATGTTTTTATCTATGTCTGCTATGAAGATAAGAAACCGCAGAGGTGCCAGGACTGTGCCTTGGGGCACTGAGCTTTTGACCTCGCTGATGCTGGCTCTCGCTGTTTCTGTATATCTAAATCTCCCACAGATTTGCATAGCATATGCTAGCATTGGATCAGACAGTCCCCTGCCCAAAATGCTTTGCATAATAAGTTACATAATATATATCAGTCACCTTAATTGTATAATATACTGTAGTCCACTTTATAGAAATAAAGTTTGTTAGTGATGTACAACATTAGGAACAACAGGAAAACTTTGAATTCAAGTACAGTGGACCCCCGGTTTATGATATTATTTCATTCCAGAAGTATGTTCAGGTGCCAGTACTGACCGAATTTGTTCCCATAAGGAATATTGTGAATTAGATTAGTCGATTTCAGACCCCCAAACATACACATACAAACGCACTTACATAAATACACTTACATAACTGGTCGCATTGGGAGCTGATCGTAAAGCGGGGGTCCACTGTACTGGGTTGTACAGACTGGAACCTTTCCTGCATCAACACACTCTCATGTTTCTGTGACCTAATTAATGTCTGCATAAATAACTCATTATGACAGTAACAGATATAAACATGTAAATAGTTCATTACTACTGTAACTTGTTTATTTATCAGAATTTTGTGGCTCTGTCACTAAACCCATTATGTGCCTGTGTAATGTTGAGGTACAGTCCCTGGACCCATTATGTGCCTGTGTAATGTTGAGGTACAGTCCCTGGACCCATTATGTGCTTCTGTAATCTTTTGACTACTGCCCACAGGAGATTACAGTTCTATCCAATAAAATAGGGACAAAATAGAAAAACAGGAAATGGATAGGAGGGTTGTAGACCCGAACAGTGGAACAATATAACACAATGCAATATAACAATGAGTAGAAGAGAGAGAGAGATGAGAGAGAGGAGAGATAGAGAGAGAGGAGAGAGGAGAGAGAGAGAGAGAGAGAGATAGAGAAGAGAGAAAGAAGAAGAGAGAAGAGAAGAGAGATGAGAGAATGAGAGAATGAGAGAATGAGAGAATGAGAGAATGAGAGAATGAAGAAAGAGAGAAGAGAGAAAGAGAGAATGAAGAGAGAATGAAAGAGAGAAAGAGAGAAGAGAATGAAGAGAGAAAGAGAGAAAGAGAGAAAGAGAGGAAGAGAGAAAGATAGAAAGATAGAAGAGAGAGACAGAGAGAAAGAGTGACATGAGAGAGAGAGAAGAGAGACAGAGAGAGAGAGAGACGAGAGAGAGAGAGAGAAGAGAGAGAGAGAGAGAGAGAGAGAGAGAGAGAGAGAGAGAGGAGAGAGAGAGAGAGAGAGACAGAGAGAGAGACAGAGTGACAGACAGAGTGGACAGACAGAGGACAGACAAGAGACAGACAGAGACAGACAGAGAGACAGACAGAGAGACAGACAGAGAGACAGACAGAGAGACAGAGATAGAGACAGAGATAGAGACAGAGACAGAGACAGAGATAGAGACAGAGAGACAGAGAGAGAGAGATGATAGGTGCTTGTAGTTAATGGACACAGCACTAATGGGAGGGACAAGTGTGTATAGCTTCCATCAATCATCACAATGCTGTGGTCTCCACAGCATGAATATCACACAATGGAGACCACAGCATAGAGACCACAGCATAGAGATCACAACAAAGACCAAGGAAAACCCACGAGAAGGACAAACAAACATTTACCACGCCTTCATGATCCTTCAGGAGGACATGACCACAACTCTGCTCATAAAACCAATGAATTGCCCCCTTACAAGCCATCAAACAAACCACAAACCCGAGATATATACACCTTGGCCTGTACCACAACCCATGGGGTCAGGGGGCAATGCCCCTGCATACCCTAGGCAAAATAATGATACCCTGAGACACTGATTATCTTAGCACTACCATACAGACATACAGGCTCTTGCTATGTCTATATTTCTATTTTTTGTTTAATACTCAAAAAAAAACATAAATTAAAATTAATAACACCAGACTTTATAAACCAGAATAACTCGGAAGTCTTAACCCAGGATAACCTCAGTCTTAATAACCCAGGATAACCTCAGTCTTAATAACCCATGATAACCTCAGTCTTAATAACCCAGGATAACCTGTCTTAATAATCCTGGACAACCCCGGTGGCTTGGTGGGTAAAGCTCCCGCTTCACACACGGAGAGCCCGGGTTCGAGTCCCGGCGGGTGGAAACATTTTGACCCATTTCCTTACACCTGTTGTCCTGTTCACCTAGCAGCAAATAGGTACCTGGGTGTTAGTAGACTGGTGTGGGTCGCATCCTGGGGGACAAGATTGAGGACCCCAATGGATATAAGTTAGACAATCCTCAATGGGTTATTCTGGGTATCTGACCCTCCAGGGTTAAAAATCGGAAGAAAATGTTATCTTTTCTTATCTTACCTCAGTCTTAATAACCCAGAATAATTCCACAAAAGCCAGGCAGTGTGGCTTATCTCAATTGTGCATCTAAGATCCTACCCCAGGATGTGACCCACACCAGTCCACTAACACCCAGGATGTGACCCACACCAGTCCACTAACACCCAGGATGCGACCCACACCAGTCCACTAACACCCAGGATGCCACCCACACCAGTCCACTAACACCCAGGATGTGACCCACACCAGTCCACTAACACCCAGGATGCGACCCACACCAGTCCACTAACACCCAGGATGTGACCCACACCAGTCCACTAACACCCAGGATGCGACCACACCAGTCCACTAACACCCAGGATGTGACCCACACCAGTCCACTAACACCCAGGATGTGACCCACACCAGTCCACTAACACCCAGGATGCTACCCACACCAGTCCACTAACACCCAGGATGCCACCCACACCAGTCCACTAACACCCAGGATGCGACCCACACCAGTCCACTAACACCCAGGTACCTACTTACTGCTAGGTGAACAGTGACAGCAGGTACAAGGTAATTTGCCCATATAGTACTACAGAATATTGGGTGTACCCAACATACCCAGGTAGAAGGTACTGGTTTAGTTATAGTTTTATGGCACTGGACAAGCAGTGAAAAAAGCAACTTGTGGCACTATTCCCTGGCACTGCTCTCACCAGGGAAGTGCCCACCAGTACATAGATAAAAGGGGTGAGAAACATTTATGTGGGAACAAACTTTTAGCTCAGATAAAGGAAGGTAAAAACATGGCACCCATAATTTGGTAGAGTTTCCTGCCCACCCTAGAGTGGGCAGTCTCCCTGCCCACTCTAGGGTGGGTGGTTACCCAATACCTGGGTAACCACCTTCCCTACCCAATATCTGGGTTATCCCAGAAGGGTTAATAACCCCCAAAAAAGCCAGAATGGCTTATTTTCAAATTGACTTTTTGCTCCTCCCCCAGGATGCAACTCCAGGTGGCATCCTGGGGGAGGTGAACAGGGGTAACAGGTGCCAAGAAATATGCCCATTATTATAATAATCAAGGGGGAAATGCTAAACCCGGAGGATTATACAGCGCCTGGGGGGGGGGGATATGGAAGGCATTCAGGCTTAATTCGGGGAACTGGAGCACAGATCCAATTTCCTAAATCAAGAGCCCCTCACCAACATCAAGGAACCTTCCTTGAGGGGAGAAATATGCCCAAATGCCCCACCCCAGCCCTGGATCAAACCCAGGTTCTCTCAGTTATGAGTTCAACCTCTACCCTATGTGGGGCATAAATTAATTTGGGCAAAGGAAATTAGGTGACACTGTAAGGGAAACTCACCCTAATGGGTAGTCTGCTTATGTAGTTCCCCATGTATAGTTAGGTATGTGGTAGTTGGTTTATTTAGACACAGGTACACATATGATTGCCATTCATACTTTAAATTACCCTACAGATTATATAATCATGAGGGAGGAACTGTACCTCAACATTAGAGGTACATAATGGGTCCAGGAACTGTACCACAACATTACAGAGGTACATAATGGGTCCAGGAACTGTACCACAACATTACAGAGGTACATAATGGGTCCAGGAACTGTACCACAACATTACAGAGGTACATAATGGGTCCAGGAACTGTACCACAACATTACAGAGGTACATAATGGGTCCAGGAACTGTACCACAACATTACAGAGGTACATAATGGGTCCAGGAACTGTACCACAACATTAGAGGTATATAATGGGTCCAGGAACATATACCACAACATTACGAGGTACATAATGGTCCAGGAACTGTACCACATTTACAGAGGTACATAATGGGTCCAGGAACTGTACCACAACATTACAGAGGTACATAATGGGTCCAGGAACTGTACACAACATTACAGAGGTACATAATGGGTCCAGGAACTGTACCACAACATTACAGAGGTACTAATGGGTCCAGGAACTGTACCACAACATTACAGAGGTACATAATGGGTCCAGGAACTGTACCACAACATTAGAGGTATATAATGGGTCCAGGAACTATACCACAACATTACAGAGGTACATAATGGGTCCAGGAACTGTACCACATTACGAGGTACATAATGGGTCAGGAACTGTACCACAACATTACAGAGGTACATAATGGGTC